ACACCACCGCTAGATGCCCATAATTAGACACCCTGTCCCTAGGAATGCAAGATAAGGAACGAGGCCTCTGTCACCCTGTGGGGCCACAGAGGGGGATGCATCACTGCCACCACTGGCCTGCCACCTCCCTGCTCCCCTGGGGAGGAGGTATCCCACACCTGTAAGAAGAGGTGCCCAGTGCAGCGCTCGCACAATTGACTTTATTCAAGACCTGGCAGGATGGAGGAAGGGGTGCCGTGGTACGGGCACTCCATGGGTACCCCGTAGGTACCGCTGCAGCGGGGTGGGGGGCTCAGGCAGCTCCCACAGATATGCACATGCGTGCACATGCCCATGCACTCCCAGGTGTGCACATGCATATACACACAGAGCAAAGCCCCCACCTATCCACAGGCACCCTGTGCCCCCCAGCCCATCCCAGTACCATGGGGTGCATCCAATGCTCCCAGGCGGGAGTGGTAGCCGGGGGTAGGGAGTCCATTGGCGTGGCACCAGGCCCCTGTAGCCCCTCACAGCTTGGTGATGAAGGGGCAGGGGGAGCCAGCCCCACGTCGGGCACCCCATGGCAGGGAGAGAGAACAGGTGTTGTGCCTGGCAGGGGTTGATGAGGGTGCTGGAGGGTGCATGGAAGCAGGGGCAAAACGGGTGCTGGGGACACCCCAGAGTGCAGGGCCAGGGGTCCATGGCCGGACTGGGCGAGGAGCAGCATGCAGGGGGAGAGTGGCCCCAAGAGAACATGTGCCATGCAGGAAGGGGGGTGCAAGCGTTGGCAAAAACTGGCATTCCTCCCCCAAACGATGTGCCTGGAACCCCGGGCACAGGCTTGGAGGGCCCCCGAGGTGGGGTGCCACCCCCAGCCAGGACAGGGGGGGCTGGTCGCCCTTCATGTAGGCACTTGGTTCCCTGCTAGGGGTGACTTGGAGACAGGGACATCAGTCCACCTGCCTACCCCCTCTCTGTACCCTGCATTGCCTCACGGCAGACTTAAGAGGGGCCCTGGCTGGACTGAGCCCCTCACTGCAGGGCTGGCTTGGGG